TGTGTGTGTGTGTGTGTGTGTGTGTGTGTGTGTGTGTGTGTGTGTGTCGCTCAGAGCAGGCCGGGCTTTTCAGCGCAGTCGTCTCATGAACAAAAACGTCACCGTTCACAGAAGTTTTATTTTACACACATTTTGTCAATTTTCTCCAAAGGGAAGCTCTCAGTGTTGGATATTTGACAGATGCAGCCATCGCTGAAGTCTTGTGTCGCAAAAAATAAAATAAAATAAAATACTGCAACCTTTTATTTTATTTATTTAAGAATGATTCCAGTTAATTGTTATATTTACTAAAAATAAAAAATCGTAAGGTAAAAAAATTGCTTTTTTAAATCCATCTATTTTAAATCATCCTTTTTTTATTTATCATCATCATTAAAAGTTTCAGTATGTAGGACTTAGTAACAACACTGGCTAATAGTAAAGGGATAGTTCAGATCTTTTGAAGCGGAGTTCTATTTAGAGGCATGAACAGTTAATATCTTGTTGGTAGCTGTTTGAACGCCTTGTTGTGGAAATGTTTAATTCGGACTGAACTGATGAGCTTACAGCTAATCCGATTTTATAAACGGAAACACAGCTGAGATTTGTTTTTTTAATGGAAATTTGTGACTCTTTGCAATCAGTAACAGCTATAGCATAATCTGCAAAAATACTACGATTTTTGTTAAAACTGTCTAATGCTTTTTCTCCAAATTGAGTTTTTTGAATATCCATCTACAACAGGTAAGATGCTAACCGCTCATAACCTTCACACAGAAGCCCTCCTCAAAGCGTCCATTACTCTGAGTCATCCCTACAAGTAGAAACTGATCCCAGTTTACAAGACGTCAACGATGGCTGCACAGAATTCTCTCAACATCCCAGCATTTACCTGAAAAACAATAATAACCCTAAATATAATTTCACTTTACAACACTTCATATCAAAGGAAACCTCGGAGTTGTTCCTTCGACATACATGCACACAAAATAAAGCAAAATACAGAAAAATAAAAAATAAATTAAAAAAACAATCATAAACTCAACCGGCACTGAAGTAACGTTGCACATTCAATATTCCTCGGTGCTAAATGGTCGACTATGTTTCAGACATTAATGTAATGTAAACAGTTAATAAAGAAATGCAAATAATAAAGGATGTAATCCACTCATATTGCGTTGAATATGGCTCAGATTGTTTCCTTTTGAAATAAATGACACAAACACACACATACGGTGAGTGATGCATGAAAACACACGTGAGTTCCCAGAGGTTCTTCAGATTGGATATGTTATAAGTGGAACCAGYAGCCACACGTATTTACAGATTGTGTGTGGGGGAGAGGAGCAGAAAAATACTGGTTTTAATGTCCAGTGAGGGATCGGACTGTTTTCAGTCGTTTTATTTGATAAAAAAAAGAGAAGATAGCAACACTGTTTAGGTCAAATCAACCAGATTTAGGTCTTAGGAGAATCCTCGGAGTTCTTCGTTCTTGTGACTCAGGTTTGTTGTAAAACACTAAAAACACGCAGAAGATCCTCGAGGCACCAAATAACACAGCTCCCCTGCACGTTTTTTTTATTTTGTTTTGTTTTGTTTGTTTGTTTTGTTCAAGAAAATGTAGGAAAATAGTGAAAACTGGCTCTCTGGTTGGCCGACATTACGTCTAAAAGATTTCACCTTTTTTTTTAAAAAAAGGTAAAAAAAAATAAGTATTTTTTTTTTTAAAATATGTACATTTAAAAGCATTTTTTAATCAATCAAGCCTTGAGTTTGTACATGTGAAAAAGGGGAGAAATATCGCTCATTTAAATCTGAATTAAATTAAAATTTTATTTTCTGACTGCGTCCTTTACGCAGCACTAAATATTAGCCCTGGAGTTTTAAACCAGACAAACAGGACACAAAGTGAAGTGTCTTTGCTCAAACTTAAACTTGATCTATACCCTTACCCTATATTTGTTTTTCTCCTTGTTGCTGGAGTTCGGTGAGGATTTTTGGGATTAATTCATAACTGAGCAGCTAATAATTACACTTTATCTGGTAGTTTTTAGTTTTCTGCCAGTTTTGACCAAAAGTTAAATAGAAATTTGAGATTTTGAGGGAAAAACAGGGAGTTTAGGAAAAGGAAAACATTTCTTGGGAAATGCAGTAGTTTTTCTGTGAGTCATTCCATGACTCRGGTGTAAATTCAGCAGAATGCAACAAACAAATTTGCCATCACATGTCTGAGGAACAGAGCTGGGAGAGTCGTGAACGTGGAAACGGTGACATATTTGGGATCAGATATGACACCGCAAAAGTGCAATGTCTTTGGCACGCAGGTTTTCTGACATAAATATACTGTTTTTATCTCAAACCGTGAACGTTTGTGTCAAACATCTTGCAGAGTATAATAGAATCAAAACCAATCTGTTACAAGACAAACAGGACAGGAGAGCTCATGAAGCAGCTTCAAATTGCACTTTCAACTATTAAAACTCAGTCAACCGATCAATCAGCACAACTAATAAATAGAATAAATAAATACAAATAAATAGTTGACCAGTAGAATCTCTGCGGCTGGTTCAGCGTCTGCAGGCCCAGCTTCGCTTTGTTCTGTCCCAGTAACGCTCTGCTGCAGGTGTGTGCAGAGTCCAGAGTCCAGTGTGTGTGTGTGTGTATGTGTGTGACTTAGACAGCCGTCTCCAGGTCTTCGTTAGAGGCGGAGGGGGGCGCTCGTTGTTGCGAGCTCAGGTAGGAGGTGAGCTCAGAGTCTCCCACTGCTTGGTCCACCGGGGTCTTCCCCTGCAGGACACAGATCAGGACTCAGGTCTGCAGAACTCATCCATGGTAAAACTTCAACAAATGGTTCTAAAATGACTCATTCATTGTCACATTTATTATAACAAAAAGTGATATTCATAAAGCAGAATATGGGGAAATCTGTTTATTAATGGTAGTTTTTTTTTATTTGAGTGTTTTATGGTCGTTTGGAGCAAAAAAAAGATGAATAAATGAAGCATTTCCCTGCTATTTTCAGCAGGATGATGGCAGACCCGTCTCCTGCTGGAAATACAGGAGGACGATAATCAGATGGCTACAAACACTAACTGATGAGCAGCTGGAGCAGAAAATAACAGCATCATTTTCGCCCAGAAGTCGAGTTAAAGGTGACAAAAATGCTGAAAATGTATTTATATTTCAGCTTTGTGGCCAAACAGAGGAATAGTTTCAAATCTGATGTTTCTGATGTTTATGAGTGCATGAGTGAAACCAAAGCTAAAGGAGACACACCTTTACGAGGTTATAAATCTGACTGAATCATTCACGTGATGTTAGTCTGACATGACTCAGCAGGTCTTACAGTAAACCGGGTCTGTCGCTTTTTTTATTTCTCGGTTTTTTGTTTTGTTTTGTTTTTACCTGGAAATTGGTCTTTTCTAGTGAAGCACCTGCTTCCACCAGCAGTTGACACACTGCGTGCTGCTTCTCTGAGGCTGCTTTGTGCAAGGCGGTGTCTCCTCTAGGAACACAAAAGTTTTGTGAAAAACCCAACAGTGTGTGGTTTCAGAGAGCATCGACACGTTGACCTCGGTGACGTAAAGCAGACAGGAAGCAAGCATCAAAAACAACAACCAAAAAAAAACAAAAAAAAAAACAAGTAGATTTGATGTCTGGGTGGGTGTTCTTTTCTTTAATGAGCGTGATTTAAGCAACAGAAAACAAACAGTAATGCAGACAACAAATGAAGAGAATAGATTGTTTCACCTACCTTTCTCTGTCTGTTAAATCCAGAAGGATTTTAGAGCCTGAGGAGACAGAAACACCAAACAAAAACCACTAATTCAGCTTAAGGCAAGTTAAATTGAAGACTTTTTATTAATACCACTTGTAATGAAATTAAAAACCAACACATAAAACACAAATGGAAAAAAAAAAACCCCAGTTAGCGACAATTTTACCCAAATGTTTATTTTAACACAAAACAACTAGCTGTGAGAAGCATTCAATACATTATTTATCTTGTGTTTAGTGATGTTACTTGTGTTTTCAGATGTGCTTTAAAGATGTATCAATATCTTAAAACAAGTGTTTACATCTATAAAGCCTGTGTTGATCATAAACTATATCTCCTATAATGCATGTCAATTTTTTTTACCAGCGAAACGACAGCATCCCACCACTAGGTGGAGCTGCAGAGGGAGCTAGCAGCCGGTGAAATGAATTGTGTAAAATCTCTATTTCACTGCACTTTCGTTGATTACATTTGCTGCAGCCCAGTTGTACCGGGAAGTGGGGATTTCCCACTTACAAGTAGTAAATTTAAACTGGAATGCCTCTGTTGGAAAGTGGGAGAGTTCAGAATTCAAGATGGCGTCTACTCACCACAACTGAACAGTGAGCAAAACTCTCTTTTACTTTTAGTAGTATTTCTGTATTATATATTTCACATTTAGTCGTACATGTAGTACTTGTCAGTGTTTACAAGAGGATGTGTTAAAATGCTGTTTCTATGCAGGAAATACCAGGTAGAGCTCAGTTTTAGCATTACTGGATTCACACCACAGTCCAGTCTCCCTCCTACTTCCCTGTATTTGTTCGGATCTTGTGTTCCTCCAGAGTTTGTGCAGGTTTGCTGCCACTTGTTATTTTGTTTTGAGTAAAATAGATTCATATTCTGAGCTTTAACAAACCATAATATTCTTAGTTCTTGTCCTCCCTGATCTTAAATCTAGCAAGAATTAGAATTCCCAAGAACTCATTCAACAAAACATTGACCTTCGTTTATAAAAATGTGCTCCTGTACGTTCATAAATAATCAAACTTTTTATCAAAGTAATATTTCATCTTGCACTAAAACGATGCATRAAATAAAATAAATGATTGTGACAAAAACAGACTGGTCTCTGTTCTGAAGGAGTTCCTGAAACTCTTGATGTTAGCAAACAAGTTTGAGGAAACAAAGCTGTATGCTTAAACGTTTGATGTCAACCTGACCAAGATGGCCGCCACAGCTGATCGACTAGAGCCGACAGAAAACATAAAATAAGATCATAAAAACGGGTTTTATTCGTGCGTCCTCCGTCTCACCTTGCTGCAGAATGTAGCTGACGAGGTCCGTGTGTCCGTTCTGTGCAGCTAAATGTAACGCCGAGCAGCCGTCTGAGTCTCTCACCAACAAACTGACGCCTCGACGCACACACTCCGTCAGCTGCAGGAAAACACACAAAGATCTGACTTACACAAACACRTCAATCTATCAGAATAATAATCAGCTTTTCAGACAAAACGTTTTTTTAATCTGTTTTCCTCAGGTAAGAACCCAGCACTGGTTTTCCCAGAAGAACCTCTAATTATGCTCATTTCTAAAATTTCTTACTATTTTTGACGTCAGGGTTATGATTTTCCTGAAGAATCATAAATCTTGCTGCTGTTTAAAACTTATATTGAATTATCTCGACCTTATTACTTTTTCGCATGCCAAAAATGTAATCTTTGAGTCACGTTTGAGAGCAATTTTTTTTTTCATTTTATCATAAAGAGACGCTCTTAATTCAGTGTTGAATATTAAGTTTTGTTACTGAAAGGAGAAAATATTTGTGCAGCAGATTAAAATACATATTTCCCCCTGCAGAAGATATTTTGTTTGTTATGAATAAATAATTGGTCTGGAAAAATGATTTGAATTCAAAAYCTGTTTTCATGGTTGATTCAGAACAAGATGTCCTTAAAAGTTAGGCAACAATTTAAGGCAGAAATTTAGGATTAGTTTGTCCCATTTATTACATTTAATCTAAAAAACACAACTACGGAGCCCGCGAGGGGACTCCGGGGGATTTTTTTCCTTTTGTGTTCCCTCGCAATACATTTGCGTTCCCACGCAATATTGTTTTGAGTTCCCACGCAAAAGATTTTGTATATGAACTGAATTAAATCAGACTTTTATTTTGAAATATCCAGTTACCAAAACAGGATGTGTCGCCACACGTTCGTGAAATTGACATTGATGTTGCGTGGCTGCACTGTGTTAAAATATCGGCATATGACATACTTCCATGGGTGGCTGTGTGATATATTCATTCTGAAGCTGAATTAAAGCAGTAGGCTAACTCGCTAATGGTGAACATGTAAGTTTGTTAATGAACCGGCAGGCACAACAGTGATAAACTACGTTTGCGATGGAACGCAAAAAGAAAAAAAAATCTCCCATGTCCCCTCGCGGGCTCCGTACACAACAGTGCAGTAGAGAAAACTAAAAACCTTTTTAAAATTAGAAAACAAGTGATAAATTCAATGAATACGAAAAGTTATTAAGACGAAGAGATTTTTTTCATGTTTTTCCTTCAGTTAATAATTTTAAATGTTTTTTAAATCCATAAGCTTTCCAACTTTATAAAACTAAAAATTGTTCTATAATAAACTCCAAACTGGCTCCAAAGATGTCTGTATTTCCTAACAGCCTCGGCCAGCTGCAGCTGTWTGACTCAGTGGTGTAAACACACCTGCAAACAACCAAAAACGTTCATGGAGCTCATTTGAGAACAAAATTGTATCATTTATGTAGCCGAACTACAATAACGAGGGCGGTTTTTCCTGATGTTTTGCAGAATGCAAATCATCCTTCGTGCTGATAAACTTGATCTTTCGTGAACCTGGAATGCAGAAACAAACATGTCGAGCAGGTCGGACTGTAAAGTACCGTACCAGTGAGAGATCCCCAGAGCTGGCAGCAGTAAGAAGAGCTGAAAAAATAAAAAAAACAACAAAATATTACGAGACACATTTCTGCAGAACTTCCTGTAAACCATTACCTAMATCTGTAAAAACATTTAAATTCTTTGAAAAACTTTACATGTAAAGACGTGATAAAAATWACATTTTTGCATATCAGTATGTAGAAATCTCTCTGTGTTCCTCTTTCAAGAGCTCTTTGCACCACATTGTTGTTAGAGAAGCTAAATAAGCTGCCTGACAATTAAAATTAACAGGATTTCAAAATAACACAATTTACTTATAAAGCCGAATCATTTTGAAAGCAGAATAAATAAAACCACAACAGTTAGAGTCATTTGGTTTAAARCCATAAAACCATAAACAAACAATGTGCTTCTGACAGACGGAGTTGTTGTCAGAATGAAAGTAATAAACTGGAATGAGAAGCATTGAACAGTGGAGAGTTCTGGGATTTCCACTGACTTCTGTCAGAAAATAAATGTCACGTCTGTGAAAGAACAAGCCCAGGCAAGTTACAGGAAAACCTGACTCACTGGTAACATGTGGAGAATAAAAGAAAGATAAAACTTTTCAACAAACAGATTTTTTTCTTCTTTTTTTTTTCAAGAAATAAAACTTTCTGCAGTTTTTTTAAAAGGATCACTCAAAATCTTTGGCTGCTTTTAAATCAAACTCCGGCTGGTATAAGTGGACGAGTAAGGCTAAGCCCTCTCTGGTGTTTACAATAAAAATGTTAAAACACCKAAGAAGTCTAAATATTGAATCACATTTTGTAAAATTTACAAAAAGAAAGGTTCTTAACAGTCTGGAAAAAAACAGTCTTTACAAAGAGCTAACTTTTCACAGCCTCGTTTATTTAAGTTATTTTGTGTAACAGAATGATTGACAGATGTCTTGCCCCGCCCCCTCAATTTGCTGCTCACTGGGGCTCATTTTGTTCAGTCCAGGGGTC